AAGGCTCTCCTTACGATTGGTAGCGAGAGGAAAATATAATGGGTTTCAAAATGTAGGAGCGTTACGATGCGAATCTTGCTCGTGGTTGCTTGTCTACGATTTGGTTTCTTTCTACTTGATGTTCGAAAAGCAGCTTCGCGATGGCTAGAGAAGATGAAGATTGATGGAGAATGACGCTTTTGCAGCGACGATTATACTCCAATTGGCTTTTTCGTTCTCTGTATTTCCCTTTGCAGGTTGAAGACTTGGCGGAGAAAATGAACTCACGCATGGCTCGTTGTCTCGTTGCGACGATCATGGTTGTCGCGACTAGATATTGATGGCGATTCACGGTGGAGGATGGGGAAGATGGTCATGGTGGTGTTTCTGGGTGGTTGCTGGATGGAGAAGATGAATAGCGGCGGTGGTGGCGCGACCATCTGGTTAGGGTTTCGGAAAGGTTGATGATGGAGGTGCGAAGTGGTGGGCTAGCCCGTGAGCCGTGGCAGTGGCGGGTTAAGGTTTAGGAGTTGGCTAAGGTCTGTGTAGGGGAAAATTAGGGGTTTAGAGGATTAGGAATGATGGATGACGTGTCAAGGTTGATGTGTTGTCCATACAAAAATTGCACAGTTGGACATTTGGCCGTTAAAGATTTAAACAACGTGTTGCAAAAAGGAATACACTGACACAAAAAATACGATCTTTAAGACTACATTAAAACATTTTAAAAAATATAGGCACCCATTTTTTCGAACCCCAAAGCTGAACAAAAAATTAAAACAAATAGTGGTATTAAGCCTTATAAGAACCATAAACAACCCAACAAGTCATTGCGGAAAACACGTAAAAAACAAGTATATGAACACACAAGATGGCGATATAGTGCGCTCAGAAGATGGCACTCAGGTCCCTAGCTTATGTTTTCAAGCGCTCATCTCATGGCCACTGGAAATGGGGCGCTCAGGCGCTTATCAGAAAAATTTTATAGCTTTTTGGATCCACTTCACACACTTACCTCACAACTTTGAATGATCTTAGGACTCTTAAAACCATATAAAATATCTGAAAACACAGCTATAACTCCATTGGACCATTTGCAACCAAAACACTTCTCTAACTCACCCAAACTCTTTCTGCCTCTTCTAACACCTATATGCAAACACATCATGAAACAAGCTTGGTTTTTTCCTAATACACTTAAATAGAAACACTTCAACACCTCGGTTTTCTCTAACTTTACGACTTTCATTTCCAATAATTAAAACTTCCAAAATGAACAAACGTACCCAAGAGCTCACCTTATTATGAACTAACAGCCACCTAGCGTTTTCTCATTAATGTCTAAACAAGTAATAATAAGTCTACTACTGAGACTCCTAACTTCCCAAACAATCAAACCTCTTACTTTCAAAATTCTCTACTCAAAAGCCTCAATAGGGACACCAAAAAACATGTAAAAAACACACTCATCAAACCATTAGGCCTTCATACCAGATTTTTATTATTTTGAGCTTTCTTCCACAAATGCTTAAACAATTCACAACTGACCTCAAACTGTTTTCACTAAACTAACCAGTTCCTAAAAACTCACCTATATCAAAACCACATTTTTGGCTTTTAAAACCAAGAATTTGCTCACTACTCATCCCCAAACACTTTGAATTTAGTTTCAAACACCAAAAGCAACTTCATCACCACACCAACATGACAAATATTAAGCTAATAAATCACGCCCATTCCAAAATACAATAACACATCTATCATTTAATCATAATTGAAACACAATGAGTATTTAAAAGATTATCACCAATTTTGTTAATTTTATCTGATTTCATACATAGAGGAGAAGGAAAGGCAAAAAGAAAAAAAGAAAGAACACAACAACACACGGTGGGGGGGTGTAGGTGTATGGGTTGCAATGGGGGGTGGGTGGGAGGGTGGGGTGGGGGTTAAAAAAAAAAAAAACAAACAACACCAAAACTGGTTTTTTTTTTTTGTGTTTTTTTGTTTTCTAATAAAACAAGGTCTAGCTTCCCTTACCATAGAAAGAACCCTCATTCCTTGCTTCCACAACAAGAAATTCTAGAAAAGCCTACAAATCATCAACGATGATCAGAAATCAACCTTAGAATCTCAAAAATTGACCAAGAAATCAAGAAAGAAGCACATTGGATACATGCAAAACAAATTTTTCTACATGATCATAGGTCGAAGAATAAAAGGAAAAAGGATAGAAACTTACTTGCTTTAAACAAAGAACTAATCGGGTAAAAGTGAAGATTATTCTACCATGATCTCCTAGGTATCTCTGGATTGTGAAATAGATGATCAAAGAGTTAGAACTCTTAAAGAGATGATAGAGAATTCAAGAAAATAGTGTTTAGAAAAAAAGGGTAAAGTGTTTAAAATAATGAGACAAAAATTCTCTTTATTTAATCAACTTATTTTTAAATTTATAATGCTTGGTCTCATTATTTTAAAACACCTATTAATTATAATATTCTATTTTATAAGTTTTCACATAATTTAATCGATAACTTAATAGAGATATATTAGTACAAAAAAAATTTTCTTAAACATAAAAAAAGATTAATAGAGTAAATACTAAAATTGAAAACCTTCCTTTTAAGTCTAAAACGAGTATTTTATTTGATTTACATTGAACCAGTCTTTCTAAATGAGAAAGAGTTATTTAGGAAAGAAGGTGAGATTCTTTCTTTAATTAAGTGAGGTGATCTGAGAGTATTTTATTTGTTTCACCGTTGAACCAGTCTTCTAAATGAGAAAGTGTATACAAGGAAAGGAGGTGAGATTCTTTCTTTACTTAAGTACTTAAATGAGGTGATTTGAGAAATAAAAATGTAATTACCAAATGGTCCTTGACTTTTTTAAAAAATTTACATCTTTTTATCTAAGATAATTAATAATCTTAATAATAATAATAACAAGAACAATAATAATAATTTATAATAATATTAAATAACATTAATGGAGAAAATAATACAACATCTAAATAAAATACTAATAAAATTTGTAATGACAAAAATAATTAAATAATAATAGTATTAATTTTTTATAATTCAAAATGTAATTAAAACTATTTTTAACCAATCACATTTTATTTTAAATTAATTACACTTATTAATTCTTTTTATAAATAAATCATCCAGGTTTTATTTTAACTTAATTATAATTACTTACATTTAATTTTCTATTAAGTTTTTATTTATAGCCTAAATTTTTAATACTAGAATAATCAAGTTCTCATGAGTATTTCCTAGAATCTTAAAAAAACATTTTTAAAAGTTAAGTGAAATTGTTTCTTAAGAAATTTAAAGTAAATCCAAGTTGTTTTTAAAGTAAAGCATATAATATTTTGTTTCTGCTTCTGTTTTTTATAAGTTTACAGAAATATTTTAAAAATTAGCTTTTTTTATGTAACAATCAAATTAAACAAGACCAGAATATTCCTTAAAAACTAATTGAAAGAGTGCGATCATTAAATATTTAATTAAAATAGTACATTGAAACAAACAATAGAGTAACTAATAAAATAAAAGTTCTAATGGACCAAATAGGAAATATGTATAACTATATACAAAATATAATAAATATAAAACTTTTTGAAGTTCAAAAAAGGAAATTCAATATTTTGTGACTTTTTTCATTTGATATGTGATGGATTAAAAGTGTAATGAGGGATCGATAATTCCAGGAAAAGATATAAAAGAGAGAAAGAAGACAACATTTTCAAAGTAATAAGATTTTGTAATCCTTAAAATTTTTCATAGTACGTAGTAAGATTTTGTGATTCTTAAAAATATCCAAGAGAATGTTTGTTTAAAAAAAATGTTAGGTTTGTTTTATTAAATTTAGATCAAATCAATTGTAAAAAATGGAAAAATTATAGATTGGTACCTTCTTAGATGAAAGGAGGACCACGGTAGGATTTAAAGAAATTTTGATCGATTATAGTTCCCTGACGAGATCCCTATTTCAATGAATTTTGTGTAAACTCAAGAGCTAGCAATAATCAGCAGGTTGAGACATGGTATTTTAAGATTACCTGGTATGAAATTTAATTTGCGTTCTTGTTGTTAAGGAAAGTATATTTGAATTGGATAGCTGGGAAGAGAAAGGAAAAGACGAGAAGAAAGATGAGATATTGAACAATTCTAGATTATTTTATTTTAGTATACACATGACAAATACGAACGTAAGATTTTAACCATTTTTTTTCAAAAGAATTTTCTACATGTTCTATTAATCAAACTTGACGTCAAGAGGAGGCAACTTCTTGATGGTGACGGTCAGCACACCATTCTGGTCCATGACAGATATGGCATCAGAGTTGGCATCGTCTGGAAGCGTAAATTGCGCATGAACGTCCGATCTTCTCTCCTATCAAATTACCGCAACCCCTCTCTCGCCTCCTCCCTCTTCCTTATAGCCGCAATGACTAACACATTGTCCTCCTTTACCTGCACCTCAATGTCCCCAAGCTTTCACGCCAGGAAGTCGATCCCGAACAGTAACGATTAGGAGACTCCTTAACACATCAGCATAAGTGGGAACCATTACTCTTACATCTCCAAGTATCCAGAAAGATTTGCAGAATAATAGTAGGGAGGGAGTTCCAGACGATTCGTAATTAATTCCCCTGCTTGTCTGGTAGAATGTACAGAAGATGCCAACTCTTCATTTCTTAAAAACAAAAGTCAAAATTAATTAGTCTTTGGGCTCCCATTCTTCATTTTTGATATAAAGAACAATTCAACCATTATCATGTTATTTTCTAGATTCTTCTCTGTCTACCTTTCGTGAGAAAGAATCAGCCGAAACTTGAAAGAAACAAACTTTATCTGCAAAAAAACAAAAAAGATTAAAACCCACAAAAATAAAAGAGAAAGAGAGAGGGGGAAACAAAGCTAACACTCGTTATCTCTACGCACAAGAAATATTGAGTAAAAGAAAAGGGTTGAGAAAGAAAAGAAACCCAGGAAAAGCAAAGTCTCAGGAATCACAAGAAGCCCTCAAAAGATAACACCCTTTTTTTCACATTACAGCATGAGTTGCCTTTCGTCCAATAATAATAATGATAAAATGAAAGAAAGAAAGAAAAAAGGTAAAAGAAATAAAGAAAAAAAAGAGATTCATTACCTGTTGTAAAACCTGTATTGGAAAAAGAAGATATTTCTTCCGTAGTTTGTGCGTGCTGAAGAATCGGATGATGCAGTGCTGAAGAATCGGATGATGCAGTATTTATGGAGTGGTTTTGACCACGTGCACTGTAGTCTCCCTAGGTTTGTGCTTCCAGCGTTAAATTCTACATTTTTTTCACATCTTATGATTACTTTGTTTAGATTATTTAATTCATTTATCATTTGAAGTTAAAAATGATTTTATATATCTTCAATGCTTAAAGAATAAAAATATATTTAAATTTATAAAATAAAAACCAGACAAACTCTAAATTAAATAATAGGTGAATTTTAATAGAGAGAGGTTCTGGAAGCTTCCATTCTCAACCCAAGTGGAAGGTCATTATAAATGCGTAATACTTTGGTTTTTCTTCATTCTAAGTTATTTCTAAACACGATGTGTTGTGTATTGTTGATTTAGAAGAGGGGGCAACGAGAATTGGTTTAGTATGATTGCCTATGATATCTGCTTTTCGGCAAGTGAGGTGTTTTTTCTGTTGTATGGAGGACTCCTAGCTTATAGACTTCTGGAAATACGCGGTATGTTCGTGTCAATACGCTTAGATGGATGTTGTATTTCTGCCTTGCTGAACTTCAGAAAAAATTACTCGGTAAATTCATCAAATATTATTTCCATGATCAACATTTTAGATTTAGTCAAAATTTCTCATGCAATGTAACTTGATAAGACGATTTTAAAGTAGAATTGAGCTATTTACTCTGAAATTAGAGGCGAAGTAAGTATGCTACATTTACTGTTTAACAGATTATTCTGTTCATATTGGCCAAATTCCTTCTTAGATAGTTGGTCATCCTATTGGTGATTCAGGAATATTGAAGTATACCATATTTAATCTGTTCTATTGGGTCTACTGAATATTTTGTTTTGGCTTCTATTTTTTAAAAATCTTCTTTCTCTTAATATATTAACTTGAAATGTTTTTGCTTAATTTTACTTGTATAAATCCTCAGGAAATTTTAATTTTGTAGGATTGCAAAGAAATGGCCAAGGTTACCATATGTAAATTAATTACTAGAATATAAGTGAACAACCACTCTGTATGTATTTGGCATGTGCTTGCTGCCTGCTCATTTTAACTGCCATGTTATGAATGTTCAATTTGTAAATTAAATTATAACTACAGAAATCAGTGTTAAATAAAAAAAGTAATGTTGAATCCTTGAGATATTTTGTTAGCTATTCCAATCCTACTAATTGCACACCTCAAATGTATTTGAAGGTTATTGATGCGTGTGCAGCACCGGGAAACAAAACTATTCACCTTGCTGCCCTTATGAAGAGTAGGGGAAAGATTGTAGCATGTGAGCTGAAAAAAGAAAGAGTTAAGCGATTGAAAGACACTATAAAGCTATCATGGCTTCTAGTATCCTTTGATGTTATATCTATGTGCTTACTGATAGCCTTTTCAATGTCACAACAAAAATAAGTGTGTTGGATGTTTTTTAAAACGACAGGTTATGCTAGTTGTCTAGAATCCAGGTCTCTTTTCTGCATTTAGTGTCTCCACCGCTGACGAGCATTAAATTCTGAATTATTCTTTTTTAGTTAATTTTTGGTTGGTGGTTCTAACTGTCAGACTTAACCCCAATTTCAGACATACAAGTCCTGAATGAGGATTTCTTGAACATAAATCCCAAGGATCCTTCATATTCTAAGGTGAAGTATATTTCCTAATATGTAGGTAATTATTTTTGTTTAATGGGGTATATTGGGGTGGCTGCTAATAGTTTGACTGATCTTGTATTATCAAACTAGACCTAAAGATCAGCACGTCTGCAGTTTTCTTGTAAACTTCAATAATTACAATTTATGAAATGTTTTTTAAGTTCTGTGCCAATGTAATTTTTCATTGCAAAAAGGAGTTAAGGATATGTTTTGTTGGTCCTTTGTATGATGAAGTTTTGTAATCTGCTGAATGCTTCTCGTAACTTCGATTCTGAAAAACATGTACACCAGAGTAAAAGAGAGATGTTGTCTTTCATTCGTATTTTCTCCTATTGAAGGAGTTAAGCCTCACTAAACGGCCTATCCTCCTGTTGTAAGAGCATATATTTTTTTCTTATTGGAAGAATTTACTCATTTTACCGAATAGCTAATCCTTATGTTGTTAGAACCTACCCTGTTTATTTTTCGAAATTCAGTGATAGCCTCTCAGGTTTTAGGTTTTTATCAATCGGGTAAGGAAAATACAACTTGTATAGAGTCGTTTGTTAATTATAGTACACTGTCATGTATAAGACCTGGTTTCAAGTATGGGACACATTTTTAAAATTTTAATACCAGATTAAGTATGAATTTTATTTCCTTCTTTGGTATGATGATTGTGTTTTTAACAGTAAGCTTTTGACTCCATAGTTCAGGATACTGATATGGAAAGATTGAGTAAGTTTGCAATTTTTCAGAGAAAGGCTTTTGAGCATGCTTTACTTTCTAAGTTAGTTTGTTTCTTCCTGTGGCAGCTTAGACATCAGGCCCAAATTGCGAGCGAAGACATCAATCCAGCTCCAAGGAAAAGCATGCAGTAAGAGGCTATCTGTAGCCTGAAGTTACAACTCATTCTCTTGCTAAGAAAATCCGCAGCTATCAAATCTACCAAAGCCATATACACCAAAATCCCCGCCGATAAGGAATCCAGAATACCTTCGGTGATGAGTGCACCGGGGCTGTAAGGGTTAAACCTTGAAGAAATGGCCGTTCCGATCGAAACACCCAACGGTGTAGTCAATGCAAAAAAACAAGCCATTATGGTTGCTGAGGAGGCTTTAAACTGCGCTTGGGAAATGCACCCTCCAAGCGCAAACCCTTCAAAAAACTGATGAAAAGACAACGCCGCAATCAGAGGCCTTATGGTACAAGGACTTTGAGAAACCCCAAGAGACAACCCGATGATTACCGAATGTGACACAATCCCAAGCTCCAACACCTGCAATGCAACCCCAGTTACGCACACTTATACGCATTTTCTTCCTTCACTCGCGCTAATAATCATTACCAGTTACATTAAATACAACCAAAACAGAGATATTTAATTATTTACCTGAGAAACCACGACGTGTCGAACGTCGGTTTCTTCGACATCTTCCATGTGGGAGTGGCCGTGGAGGTGACCGTGACCGTGTCCATGGGAGTCAGCAAGCGCATTATCTTGTTCCTTCTCGCCGCCAATGCCATGGCACGAGTCATGGCCATGGGGGTGGTTATGTCGATGATGCGCGGCGTGTGCATGCATCCCCACGATGTGCATTCCCCCACTCTCTTCTTCTCCAAACACCTTCCCTCCGGATTCGGACGACCCGACCCGAGACTGCTCCTCCGAGGGACGGTTGAGCCCCTGCTTGCGCTCGTAGTATTGCGTTCCCACGAAATCGAGGAGGAGAGTGAAAAGCGCGGCCATCATGGCGAAGAAGCCGGTGAAAGGGAATTTGGACCACGGGAACGAAGGCAGGCACGGGTGCTGGAGCGCGTCGGTGGCATCAGAGAGCATGTGGACGAATCCCGTGGCCAGGATCACCCCGGCGGCAAAGGCCTTGGCACCGACGAAGAGGTTGCCGTCGGTGCGGAGGAAGCGGCGGTGTTTTCCGACGAGGGGGATCGCTATTCCGGCCATGCCGGAGAGGAGAATGGAGGCGATAGTGACGAATTTGAGAACCAACGCCGCCGACTCGTCTCGGCACTGATCGAACTCAGCGCCTGCGCAGGTGGAGTTGGTCATCGATTCCAGAAGGTTGTGGAAGAAGGACGGTTTCTCTATTTTGGAAAAAGCAGCGGCTCAAGAGTTTAGAAAATAATCGATTGACCTATAAATATATACCAATTGAATTAATGATAAATTAAAATTTACGATTCGCTTACATGGTGTGTGTGTGTGTGGATTATTGAATCGAAAAATGATTATTACCTGAAAAGAGAGAAGTGTTTCCAACCAGTTGGTGGAGCAGCGGCCACAAATCCTAAAAAACAGAGAGAAAGAAGAATGATTATCGATTACATCGAAGGTTACATGGAAGGTTACATCATGGAAGGTGACGTCGAATAAAGAGAGAAGCAGAAAGAAACCTCGGTAAAAATCATGGGAGTGAGGGGAATTTGTAGGGAAAAAGAAGGAGAAGGTTGTGGGATGAAGATAGAGAGTGGAATTGAATTGTATAAATAATAAAGTGGAGAAGATAGGGATTGAGATCGGAAATTGGATGCCAGGGAGGGATAGAAGAAGCTTGTTGGCGAAAATGAAGAAGAGTGTCGTCATAAGGATGAGAGAGAGAGGTAGGAGAGTCAGTTGTGGATTCTTCGCTTCCCTCTTTTTGCAATCAAATGAGCGCGAGAGTGTCGACATTCTTGCATCACCTATAATATATGCTACTCACCTTTTTTTCTTTTTTTATTTTATTTTAAATCCTTCCTATTAAAATATTACCAGATTCTCTTAAATCCACCATCTCCCCACACATCTCTCCTTATAATATATTTACGCTTATAACAACTATAATTATTTAAATTTAAAATCTATATAATCTATTACTTTAACTATGACATTTTCTTCTGTAAAAGAAACGACATTTTCTTTATTAGGCTATGTTTAATTATGCACCCCGAAACCTCAATTTTATCAATTGAAAGATAGAACCTGAATGATAAAAATCTTGTAGTCTACGTTATCTCATTACGACATTCCCACCTTTGACCGTTTCTCTTCCGTTTATTGAAGAGATAAAAAGTAGAAAAAGAAAGTATTAAATTTTAAAAAATTGAATGTTAGATCATTTTATTTTTATACTAATGCTTACTATTATTTTTTAATTTTAATTTTAATTATTCATTTATCAATTATTATTATAATAAAGAAGTAAAATATAATACAAAAATATATCATCATAATTTATTAAAGATATTTTTTAATAAATTAAGATTATGATATCTTAACAGCATTTTTAATAATTTTTTGATAATAAATCTTGTATTACTATTTTATTTCTCGATATATTTTAAAGAAGTTGTCAGAAAAGATTTTTGAATAAATTATGTATTGAAAAACACTTAAAATTACCCATTGTAGCAGCACAGGAGCCTGGAAATTACCTTCACATCTTTTCACATACCCCTGCTATTCAACTCAAGCAAATATAATTGAATAAAGGTATTTGCACAACTTTTATTCTTTATACAAAATTAATTATAATAGTATAAATTTTGAATTAATAAAATAATTTTAATATTATAGTATTATAAAAAATTATCTATTAATTTTATAAAAAAAAAATATGGATTACAAAACATCTTTACTCAACCTAATTTCCTCGTTTTTTACCCTAAGAACATCTTAAAACGAAAGGAAGGCGGAGTTATAAATTCATAGAACTAAAACTTAGTTTAATAACAATGATTTAATAAAATAAAATAAAATTTACTGTCCAGTTGTTGCTCTACGACATCCTCACATAGTTAATTATTTTTTAAAGTACGACATTTTTTCTACAGATCTATGGTGTTTGGTTGGTAAAGACAACAAGCTGCATTCCGCATTGTATAACTTTTCAAAGAAACCAATGACATAACTATGAATATGACAAGTTTACCACTGTTTTCCCATTGTTTTGTTACTCCTCCTGAATGCAATAGAAACTGCTGCACTAATTAACGAAGAAAAAGTACAAATAAAATGAAAAAAGAAATACTTTTATATCCATGTCTTGAATAAATAAAGTATTTACGTAATATCAACAAACAAATTTAACTACAAAATAGAGAATGTTAAAAAACATCTGATATTTTTGTAAATAAAAATTTTCAGAATTATATTTGTTTTACGTCAATTGGTTATAAAACATCAGATATTGAGAAGGATGTTTGACACAAATCTGAAAATGTATTTACGTATGACGTCGAATGTTCAAGAATTAGACGTTAAAAGGTTATAAGATGTCGAATGTACTAGAATAAGACTTTATATCTTAGTGAATTCAATAAAAGTTTTAGCACATGACCCCTTCTTTGCTCAAATTTTTCTTGAACGAAGTTTGACTACCAACACATGTAATTTTTCTTTCATTTGATACAAATGCATATTGATTAACTACTTTTAGCTATGATTTTTTGTTTTGACAAATTATTTTTGTGTTCTTCTTCTTCATAGGCTTTTCTCTCCCATTGACAACACTTTATTCCTACGAACCTATATTTTTTAAGGTTAGTTTTCATTTTCGTTTCCTTTTTCAAGAACTTGTTTGTTGAACTTTGTTGTTGTTTGTTGTTCATAGTACACTACACGTTATATATCTAAGCTTTAGTGTAAAACTAAAAGTATATTGAAAACAACTCCAAATGACCTGAAAATTTGTTCAAAGCACCAAAATATCACCAGAAGCCCCCACAAAATTTATAATCAAAATTCAAAATGTAACTATTTTAAATATTTTTGCAAAGTTTGAAAAAAAACAAAAATAATTTTTTGAAAAATAGAAAACAATGTTTTCTAGAGAATCTAGAAGGATTAGCTAGCCACTCGAGCTTCCACGGTATCAATTTTTTTTCTACCCAAAATCCATGTTTAATAATAGTAAATCGGACAACCGAAGCAAATGTTATGGTCGTTTAAAAATTTATAGTTGTTCACTTTCCAAATAATAGACTTAAAGCAAGTGTTTTTTTTTTCTGAACTAGGGGTTTTAAAGGAGTGGTAAAAAAAATACAACCAAAACCAAAATCATAGCTATCAAAATCAAAAATTAGAAGTTAATATTACAAGTTAATATTACTATTGTCATAACTTTTGTATTTTTGTTTATCGTTCATAGTTCATGCTATATAAAATACAAAAAATAAATTATATTTATTATTTTTCTGTTTTTCAAGTCTCATAGTTATAAAAATGAATCACAATTAATTAAATAAAAAAAAATAATAATTAACATCACACAATGACAAAATTCGATATTAATTAATGTCAAATATAAACAAATATCCAATGTCAATCTACTCAAATTGTTTTGTATCAGAGCGTTAATTAACGATAATTAATGTTTGATATACCTTAAAGGAAAAAAAACACAAATGTCAAATGACTGTGTTGCACTAATGTAAATTAATTTTAATGTTTTATTATGCAGTATTGTTGTTCACCCCACTTACAATACATTTAATAGAGAAAGAAAATGAACGAGAGGTAAATGCAAATAGGTGCAAATAAACGAAAAAGTGTTTAATTAAAATATTTTTAAAAAGGAAAATATATGAATAAAAGAAAAGTAAAAAAATAAAGTTGCAAGTCTCGATGTTTTAAAATTTGTTAATATGCAGTTTTCTCAGGAACGTTTATCTATGGTTTAGATGATTGGTAGAGTTTGATGGAGTGTAAAATCACATTAAAGTAATCAATATGAAGAAAAATACGAGTATATTTAGATCTAAATGAGTATATAAAGGTAAACTCAAAGTATGTAAGAAAGTATTAGTTTTATTAATAGAAATATGTTTTATATATTATGGATAAATTTTATTAATTTGTTGTGTTGTCGTGAAGTTAACAGAGTGATAATTATGACACAATAATGCATATCTAAGATATTATTTCACCCTAAAATATAAGAATTTGAATGTGTTACGTTATGTGGAAAAGTGACATAATGGTTTATATAGCTTCAGGAGAGAAAACATTATTTACGGGATGTTCATAGCAATTATATGGTGCATAAGAAATTAAAGAAATGATATTTTATTTAGAAAAGGTAAGTTTGATGTAGAAGAAATATTATGTAATATTTTTTAATAGAAAAAAAAGAAAAGAATTGAGGAGAAGAATACCTATAAAGGAAGAAATAAGTGAGAGTGAAGAGAAAGAGAGAGGTCTATGGAGGAAGAAAAAGGTAAGAGAAGTAAGTATGTGTGGTAAAAAAAAAAAGAAGGAAAGAGAATGCCCGCTGGTGGAAGTAAGTTGAATGAGTTTTTCTCTCTGCATCTTTCATATACTCCATATTTTCTTAAAATCTTAAAACTTTGCATTTCAAAAAACTTTATATTCTACTTTTTTTTCCCAATAAATTTTAAAATTTGTTAAAAAAAATTCTTCAACAAATTTTAAGATTTGTTAAAAGATTTTTCAAAATTTTAACAGATTTTGAAATTTATTAAAATGTTTTTTTTTATTTCAAAATTTTTTAAAGAAATTTTCAAACACTTCAATAATTTTCATGAAAAAGATTATTTTTAGAATATAAAGTTACAGATAAAAATATGTGAAAATGTGAGGAGAAACACTCCAGATGAATGGGTGGTGCTCCCTCCACCTCCCATTTATTATTTTGTCCCTCAGTAAAATTTTATTTTTAGGATTATTATTTTTTAATTTTATCCATTCAGAACCTATTTCATTAATAACCTATTCTAGTCCCGTACATGAGTAAAATATTTTTCTTTCATTTTAACATTATATTTCTTCCTTTCTTTCTTTTGTCGTTGTGCAAGTTACAAAGATTGGTGGTGGTGGAAAGAATTATCAAGCAGTCTCCCTCTCGTGGTGCAGTGCGTGAGTGATGCAGTGCGTGAGTGATGCAGTGCGTGGAGTGCTTCCTCGTATTCGAATAAACCATGAAATAAAATCCTAAAATAAAAAACGCAACCTTTAAACGGATGTCAAAATCCTTCAACGGATGTCAAAATCCTTCAACGGATGTCAAAATCCTTCAACGGATGTCAACATCCGTTTAAGAAAAAACGGATGTCGACATCCGTTTTAGCTTAAACGGATGTTGACATTCGTTGAAGATGTCACCTCCCGGTTTAAAGGTTACGTTTTTTATTTTAGAGTTTGTTTTATTAGGGAATATCCGTTGAAGGATGTCACCTCCGTTGATGTATACTTCCTCACAATGGTTGATGCTCTGGACGTTCCTCGATGTTCCTCCAACCACGGCGGTGACGCTCCTTCACACCACGGCGACAATGGAAGCTTTCAAACAAAAAAAAACTGGGAAGAAAAAAGGAATGGAAGTGCGGGAGGTGGGGAGGTGAAACAAAAAGGGGGAAAGGGGAAGAGAGTTCCGTGGGTGGGTGCTGGGAAAGTAAAATTAGGGTTTCAAATTATTTAAAATAGGGTAAAAGTAAAAATCTTTTTAACTTAACGATATAATTGTATTTAAAATAAGGTTTAATTCTTTCGAACATCCCTATTTCTGTAGGATCGTCTCAAGTAGGTCCTCGTATTGTAAATGTTCTCTATTAGGTCCCTTATTATGAAAAATTGAATCAATTTAGGCCTTACCGTTAGTTCCATACTAACACCGTTAAAGGGGGTGACACGTGTCAATTCGTAGTTTTTTG